TAAAGTTATGGTAAGTATTACATCATGAAAATTGGTTTTACTTCAAAAACCTCAAGTTCAATCATATTAATGTGGTATACTGTATGTGTTAACGTACAGGTTCAATCACCTTCATGTGGTATACTGTATTTGTTAACGTACAGGTTCAATCCCCTTCGTGTGGTATACTGTATTTGTAACGTACAGGGTCAATCACCTTCATGTGGAATACTGTACTTGCTAACGTACAGATTCAATCACCTTCGTGTGGTATACTGTGTTTGTTAACGTACAGGTTCAATCACCTTCGTGTGGTATACTGTATTTGTAAACGTACAGGTTCAATCACCTTCATATGGTATACTGTATTTGTTTATGTACAGGTTCAATCACCTTCGTGTGGTATACTGTATTTGTTAACGTACAGGTTCAATCACCTTCATGTGGAATACTGTACTTGTTAACGTACAGATTCAATCACCTTCGTGTGGTATACTGTATTTGTTAACGTACAGGTTCAATCACCTTCATATGGTATACTGTATTTGTTAAACTACAGGTTCAATCACCTTCGTGTGGTATACTGTATTTGTTAACGTACAGGTTCAATCACCTTCGTGTGGTATACTGTATGTGTTAACGTAAAAGTTCAATCACCTTCATGTGGTATACTGTACTTGTTAACGTACAGATTCAATCACCTTCGTGTGGTATACTGTATGTGTTAACGTACAGGTTCAATCACCTTCGTGGGGTATACTGTATTTGTTAACGTAAAAGTTCAATCTCCTTCATGTGGTATACTGTATTTGTTAACGTACAGGTTCAATCACCTTCGTGTGGAATACTGTATTTGTTAACGTACAGGTTCAATCACCTTCGTGTGTTACGTTCATCGTTCAAACCTTAGCAGTATGTGCTAGAGGATAATCCATTATTATCGAACTCCGCGTATTTGATTTTCGATTTGTTTAAAGACACGAGGTTTGCCGTATATGTTTTATATTTGAAAATTAACCCACGAGAGTAAGGTAAACACGAAAATTAACCATCACGAGTTTGAGGACCTTTTATTCCATAACGTTCAGATATTATACCTAGAAACCCATACGTTTCTTTTGCGAATACATTATTCATGTTTCCGATCGGGAAAGTAATTGCAGTGAAATGTGCCGTCACAATGGAAGATGACGTCGCAAAGCATTATAACTTCAGAATTAGAAGATTGGCCAATACAATAGCTTCAACGGTGTTGTCCACCAGTGGGTATTCAAAAATATTCACCAATTTCTCACAGGTTTATCAAATGAGTAGGAAGTGGGGAAACCCTTAATAGTTGTTGGGGAAAACTGGGATAATAGTGAGTGCTAACTCACGTGAAGTACATTTGTACAATAATTACAGGTAAAGGTAAAATGACAGAAAAAAGCATTGATTACATATTGTATAATGAGTCGCGTTATGTTGTGTATAACACCACGGCTTACATTATCAGACATGTTTTTTTCTTCTTCAGATGCTGCGACTCTTGTGTCTTTTAGCGGTAACATCAGGTAAATGATGCAAGAATGAATCTGTCTATTATACTAAAACCGTCTTGTGTATTTAATGTCGCTCTCATATTACTAACGATATTACTAGGACGTAAAACACACCACAATGAAAAACAATCGGATAAACTAATGTGTACCACGTGACCTCTATAACATATCTCCAGTACTATTACTGAGGTTCACACATTGCACCACGTGACCTATATAACATATCTCCAGTACTAAAGCTGAGGTTCACACATTGCACCACGTGACCTATACAACATATCTCCAGTACTATAGCTGAGGTTCACACATTGCACCACGTGACCTCTATAACATATTTCCAGGATTATAGCGGAGGTTCACAAAATGTACCACGTGACATCTATAACATATATTAAGTGCTATCACTTAACACTTATCAGAAACACGAAATTAATTAGCTTTGTAGGTATTTAGGTATCCGAAGTGTTGAAGTCATTCCACCCAAAGGGAATATAAAACTCATTAAGAAATGTCATTCCACACAAACCTGTTTATTTTCTCTCTACGCTCCACACATATTGCTAGCAGCTTTAAGTTCAATAGAAGCAATTTAAAGTCTGTCGTCGTCTGGGCTATGGCTGACTTCAGTGTTTTATCTTAAATGAATATGTTCAACGTCAAGTAGGGTTAGAAAATTATAATAGTCTATCAGACCCATCCGTTTTTGGTCAAATGGAAATTGTGGGGATTAATCACACAAATCGCTTTGTTGCATCTCATCATACCACGAAGTTGTGTCCCAGTCTAGTCAGTGGTGATATTTGTTTAACGTTATTGTACATTTTAGAACAAGAATAAATATTTTTGAACTAATAAAAATGGGAAAATAAGTTTCAGTTTCAGTTGTTTAAAACTTTAGCAAGACTACGCGAGCAAGAAAAATGCTAAACATTAACTATATTGTTTTTAGGTTTCTGACCGAAAATTTCTCTTTCTTTTTGTGCTACTGGCGGGCGTCTTAAACAAGATACCACAGTGAACATTTGCCACCTCTGACACCAGACGCAGTTTGGTGTTCCCTTGTTATCTGTGATAACAGCATCAGTTTGGACTGATGTAATGCCGTTAATTGTTCTTGTAATACTTAATGATACTATTCGTTTGTTTGTTAAGCATCCGCGATGCCATGTTGAATCTCGCGAGAGTTTGCATAAGCAGACCTCGCTAAATCTCACGGATGTGCGTTTATTTACATTAGTTATGCTAGTTGTAGAAAAAAGTAGTTGGGCCATCAAAATAGCGAACGTATATCGGTCTGACAATCGCTTTGTTCGTGAAACTGCCACATGTAGAGTGCAATTACAGATCAGCCTTTCCGTAACCGGTGTTCATCACAGAAATAAGGAATAGTGGTCCAGATATGACCAAAATCAGTATACCAGAAATGGTGTTCCAACGTGATGGAAGTCTTAATTAATTTCAGGAAACCTCAATCGTAGAATGAACAAAAATTAACATTTTGAACTGAATAAAGTTAACTCTAGTACGTGAACCACGTGCATTCTGACGTCACCTCATTTGGATCGTTAGTAGGTTCATGGTGCTCATGGAATGAGAGCTTTGGGTTCATTGTCATAGAGATATGTAAGATTAATAACAAAACATAACTATGATTTGCAATACTTGAAAGAAATGCAGAATATTGATGAAACCGTATTTCACATTCACAATTCCTTCTTGTTTCAGTGGTTGTTGATGCCTACCGCCGTGTGTGTTACCATACCAACTGGTCACAATACAGACAAACACCGGCTAAATTCTTTCCGGAGAACATTGAATCACAACTATGCACGCACATCATCTATGCATTTGCAACTCTCAATGGTAATCACTTGAAAGCCTACGAATGGAACGACGAGAGTACTCCCTGGTCCAAAGGCTTGTACGTAAATACTTGTAATGTTACAAAACCATATGCATATTTATGACTTACTATAAGTTACTTTTGTCGGACTCCCCTCCCTTTGGTTGTTCCTACTCTGTTTTAATAAAAGGTTATTGCACAACAGGTACGAGCGGTTTAACGACATCAAGAAACAAAACCCGACCTTGAAGACTCTGCTAGCGGTAGGAGGCTGGAACATGGGCTCAGCACCCTTTACAAGGCTGGTAGCTAATGATCAAAATCGACGAGACTTTGCCACCGACACCGTCAAATTCCTCCGTACACACAAATTCGATGGCCTTGACATCGACTGGGAGTATCCAGGCAACAGAGGGAGCCCTCCGCAGGACAAACAAAACTTTCTTGAGCTCGTCAAGGTCAGCTATTACAACATCGCACATACACAATTAATACATTGTACATTATTGTATTTGTGTTTTTGTTTTAAGTTGTGGTCGTTTGCTATAAATCAGGACTGATTTACATATGTTGTGATGGTGAATATAAAGAGTCGACCATTCAATGCCATGGTGACATATACAAATTGCTCTATTCTGTCATAGAAACGACGATAATGGGCCAATTACCAACCTGATACGGAAGACATTTGACCTTCTTATGTTATAGTGACGGAGGAGTTGACCCTCTAATGTTTTTGTGACGGACGAGTTGACCTTCAAACGTTTTGGTGACGGAGAACAGTTGACGCTCTATTATGTTGGTGTAGGAATAGTTGACCCTCTAATGATGTGGTGACGGAAGAGTTGACCCTATAATGTTGTGGTGACGGAGGAGTTGACCTCTAATGTTGTGGTGACGGAGGAGTTTATCCCTCTAATGTTGTGGTGACGGAGGAGTTGACCTCTAATGATGTGGTGACGGAGGAGTTGACCCTCTAATGTTGTGGTGACGGAGGAGTAGGACCTCTAATGTTGTGGTGACGGAGGAGTTGACCTCTAATGTTGTTCCGACGGAGAACAGTTGACCCTGTACCGTCATGGTAACGAAGAAGAGTTCGTCCCCTACTGCTAGGTGATATAAGAGAGTTGACCCGCTACTCACATTGTGACGGAGGGGAGTTGACAAGTTACTATTATGCGACCGTAACACATGTTTTTTTTTGTTAACGCGGATTGCAAAAACCTTCCAAAACTTTGTAAACCAACATCAATGCCAACACGCACAAGAACATAATTACGTCATTAGTCAACGCTTAAGTGGTCACGCGTGAAAACTTACCTGGTTACCTTACATATCGTCAATAATTCGGGAGTATTATATAACCATAACATACACACACTAACTCCTGATTTGAGGGTTTCACCAAATATCATAATAACCAACACGATATTCAGAATTTTAAACCTAAGTACACATACCAAAGCAAGCTGTTTATGTATCAACTTGCTTTGAAAAGTGAATAATAACGCGGAATGTATGTCAATTATTGACATTTTGTGGTGTGTTTGAGACGACACGCGTTTTGACGTGTTGATGTTTTGATGTGTTGACGTATTGACGTATTGACGTTTTGACGTTTTGATGTTTTGACATGTTGACCTGAGGACGTTTTGACGTGTTGACGTATTGACGTTTTGACGTATTGACGTTTTGATGTTTTGACGTGTTTACGTTTTGACGTGTTGATGTATTGACGTTTTTACGATTTTACGTTTTGATGTTTTGACGTTTTGACGTTTTGACGTTTTGAGGTGTTGATGTTTTGACGTGTTGACATTTTGACGTTTTGGCGTGTTGACGTTTTGACGTTTTGACGTGTTGATGTTTTGACGTGTTGATGTTTTGACGTGTTGACGTGTTGACGTGTTGACGTTTTGACGTGTTGATGTTTTGACGTGTTGACGTTTGACGTTTTGACGTATTGACGTTTTGACATTTTGACGTATTCCTCAAATTGAAGTTAAGGAATACACTGTGCATATCGTACATAGAGCAACATTAAAAAAGACATCTGTATGTGTTAAGCCTAGAGTTTTGCCTCGACTATAATGAAAACCACCACAGTTTGTCATTTGGTTACTGTTACTTTTAGATCTATGAATTAGAACTTTGAACAAGAAAATGGATAAAACCTGTGTTTCTTCAGATTTGCAGCCATATTTCGTGCTTTTATGGTCGTAAACATCGGCGTATGTCACGGTAAAACTGCGACAGTCTCTCAAATACTCTAAACTTTCTCGAATACAGTTCAATGTGGGTAAACATGCTTCACGCTATACATTGCGTTATCGGGAGGTATAATAAGTATTTATATAATTTTTGCGGGTACAGTTTGTTTTAAGTACATGTATTGCTACATATCAAATTTTCCGAAGCATAATACAATTAGGTGTAATTTGTCCCTTGTATTTCATGTCATGCTTTTATGTAGTCTTTTTCAAAAACTTTCTTGTTCACTCCTCGTGGCGTAAAGGTTTTACGTTGGGAAACTGCGCAGAACAATTGTATTATAAGTCTTACAATACCAATAGGAGTCAGGTAGAACGGAAAATTATGATTTCTCTAAATTCGGTTCACAACCTGAAGCAAAGATTGTGATCATGTTTCATTAAGGAACCAATGACTCTACCAAGCGATATAGTAAACAAAATATGTTATTCAATATCTGCACATAATTGAATTCTTTGATCAAAATCTACATTTGCAGATAACACGTCAGACGTTCGACGCAGATGCCGCAGCGAGTGGTCAACCGCGGCTGTTATTGTCCGCGGCTGTGGCTGCAGGCAAAACAACAATCGATACGGCCTACGACATACCCCAGCTAATCAAGTACGTTTCTCATTTCTTACGTGACGTATCGCTTACGTCATAGTCATGATTTCACAGTGATGAAGTACCTTGATTACGTCTTTAAAACAGAGAATGTCTTTTGGTTCTCCCCTAAGTAATGTATGCGTATACTGAATCACTTTTCCTAAGAATGTTGACAAAAAGCTTTGTCGTTTTAAAAACAACTGATTGGCAATTGTCTGTCATACGATGAGAACATTGTCCTAAACATCACTTTGCTTGTGGAAGACCATTATCGAATAAGCAGTAAAACTGATGCCCCAGTAGACAAAGTACTGAGAGGGATTGAATAAACCACGGCTTTAACATGACCCAGGGTCACAATGTCATCAAAACTCAACAAGGTAAACCTGCAACAGATCGATTGTAACCAGCGGAGCAGAAGTCAGCCCGAATGGCATGGCCAGGAATCTCGGAAAAGTTCACGTTGCAGGTGACACGGAGGTAGCTCTCTGCTGCCTTCTTCATGTGAAAACGGATTTATGCATCCTTGCGATCGATTGAAGTTTCCCAAATTAACTCCCATGTCGAGGCGAAAATGTCCGGTTGTGTCTTTATATTGAAGCAAGAGAGGAATCTGTGTACTAAACGCTATCAGACTAGATCGATCTAAAATGTGACTCGAAGCGTCATGCGACTTCCAAACGAGATGATTTCTGGAAAAGAATCCGAAAATGCTCTACGTCATTGTGAACTCCTCGACCGTATCTTACAAATGATGATCATTTTTCTGGTTCTCCAAGAGGGGAAGGTAGAGGTAGAAAATTTGCTCTTTCGTGAAGGAAAATTCATTAACAATGGAATTCCAAGGCCCTCCGACATAACCGGCCTTTAGATATGAATGAGACTAAAACAACGACGGTTCGGGAAGTAGCGAAAGGCAGAAACGATTCGGGAACACAATTTAAATCAAATTCCTCTTCTATGAATGTTTCTTGGTGCTTTTCTTTCCCTTGACCTGGAATATCGGCTGAGACTTATCCATAAATGCAACACGCTCCGGAGGATAAACGTCACTCTACCTACACAGGACAATTGCGGGAAAGAATTGGCATGCAATTCAAAGTATTTTTATGTACGCAATTTTCACTAATTGTTCCTTTCATGTCAATAAGCTGTGTATCGGCTTTACTGGCATTTGAATATGGTTACACAAATAGTTTAAGGTTATAACATATTTCGAAAACATAACTTTCTTAATTAACGTGTCTTGCCAGACTATTTATCTTGATAATAATTTTCAGAAACAATGTTTTTTCAAACAAATGGTAGTTTTGAGAGGAAATTGAATCAGAACCTCTCTTGACTCTTTGATATTTGATATGTATGTGATTGTTTATATTGATCGCGTATCTCCCAATATTAGCCAAAGTACCCAGGTATCACTTTCAGGGTAAAATTACAATTGTTCAAGAATCTACGTGACCTTAACAGTATTTTGCGATATATGTATAGAACCAAATGCCGGAAATATCATCCTGTAACCGAAAACACAAGTGTATGATGTATATTTATGATATAGTGACAAACATTGCTGGAATGAAATTATGGTGAAAAGTAAGTTAATATTTACCTGATTGTCCAGTTTAGTGTACACTGGTGTTAGTATTTGCCTTCTACGCCTCAGACCCAGAACCATCATATGTATTCGTGTTTTTAAATGCCGAAGCTACAGAGCCATCATTAAGCTTCTGCTTTTTCAAAGGTAAGACACCACTGAACACAATGAGCCCTGAAAATGGGTTCACCAAGAGGCTCATTCACCTGCATGTTAGCATGACTAGAAGAGCGCTGATCCAGTATCACGTCGTAGAACAGCATTGAAAACTGAAGTTCTGTCACCGTCCTCATCGCGGCATTCAGGACAGACGTTCACGTCTGTTCTTCTGCATGTCCTGCCTCTCCTCGTAAGATGTATTAACTAAAGACAAATAAAGATGCCGTGAAAATAATCGCCATGCTAAACATGGAGAGAGTGGCACAACAATCCATTTTCCTTACAACTGAGCAACGACAATAGAGGAAGACGTAATAGTGTCCACAGGGCTTTAGTTCTGTCGCTCCTGAGAGCAAGGCAATATGGTCGCCTCCAAGACTGAAGAAGGAGTCGGAATGTTCTTCACCCCAAGACAACTGGCAATTATCGCCAGAAAAACACGCATACAAAAGGAGTCGATCTCAGAGTACCTGGGATACAAACATAGAATACTGTGTTCAAACACGATACTAATAAAACATGGGCGCCACTGCATCCACACTATCATTGTTAACAGCCAGCAGACTTACCGTAAAACACGTCATAACCAGACTTGTGAGGAAAACAGGAATAATGAAATACATATCACCGGAAAATATTTATATGCTGGATAACACTAACTCTATACATAAAAAAGGATCATTAGAATGTCTTATATTGTTGTACAATTTACAATTAGTTTTTGACACATTCTGGTGTCAATCCTTTAACAAGGTGCTGTTTTTATACAGGTATCTGGATATGATTAACCTGATGTCCTATGATCTCCATGGTTCATTCGAGGACCACACCGGCCACAACAGTCCGCTAAAAGCTGGCCCCATGGACGTGGGAAATGACGCTTTGCTGAATATGGTTAGTGTAATACGGTACTGTTATATTACCGAATCAAATCAGTGAGGGTAGTCTTTATGTCAACAAAGTCTAACGCCTTTAAAGGACCTTAGCTGCTGGTATACGTCAAACCCTGTACAACCAACCCTCTAAACGGTATCGGTATGAAACAAGGTAAGTGACGCTGACCATGTCCACGCGGTAACGGTATAAAACAAGATGTCACAGATATGGCGCTCACCATCAAAGGATCTTTATCAGATCCACAAAAAATGGTCTTTTACCTTATTTGCTATTCATTTTCCTTACAGGTACCCAGTCCCACGTTTGAAATCATAAATGGGAATCCTGTTTATTATTTTAACATCGTGATTTCATGTCATTTGCCACTATGGCAAATTCTATTATAAAATTGTATAACTATATGAATTGGAAGAAATTGTAATTATTACATAATTAGGAGTGTCGTCATTGAGGGATGAATCCTCATTATTGTATATCAAACAAGGGGGTAATTGGAACATACAAATACGATTTGAGAAAGATCAATCCAGCACTTTCTTATAAATATCAAGAGATAACAAAACTTAAACGTCAAAATCTAAGATAGACACCTGTCGGTCATTTTATTATATTAATTTTGAAACAGATCGATATCCCTCGCTTTTTTTTGTGTTGAGAAATAGCGATGTTAGCAATCAATATAATCAATTTAAATCAAACACGTTTGCGTCAAACAGGAATGGGCTTCCCTGGAGTATGTAAGAAGAGGTGCACCGAAGAGTATGCTTAACATCGGAATGCCTCTATACGGTCGCTCCTTTACCCTGAAGGACCCTAACAACAACGGTTTAAATGCACCCGCTCGAGGAGGAGGGAATGCCGGCCACTTTACCAGGGAGAAGGGCTTCCTCGCTTACTATGAGGTGAGATGCCCTCGCATTATAAGTATCACAATTACAAGGGAATAGGAACCCCCTGATTCTGTTTGTTACAATAGCAATGGACGTGTCTATCCTATCATTGAAATGCTTATTGATTTAAATTAAGAACACACACATAGAGCCTGCTTTGTTTTTATATTCATTTTGTTATATGAAAGTAAACGTACGGAACAAACAAAGAAAAAAACAGCGTCAAGAACCAAGGTCATTAACAATACACGAGGTCAAAATGATCACAGCGTCAGTTCACAAAGCGTTATACCTTGTACAAAAAAAGCAGTTCAAAAGAACAAAATAAACCATGCCGTCAATACACAAAGAATAAGTTCGTATTAAAACAATTACAATGTAAACCCCCCAAAAAAGCAGTAGACAAAGTCAATATTGTTATAGAAAAGTAAACATTTTCTGGATCACATGATGTGAAAACCTTGAAAAAGAGAAGTTCACAATTTTTTTTACAAATGGAATAAAAATCTTTCATGATGGGATACACAGAAATATCATTGTATCACACTAGGTAATGGTGTTGACAGTAAATGGCGTTTTTAAATAATCTTTTATTAAGTAGCATTTTTCCAAAGCTCTCGTCTCACATTATCAGTCTGTAGACGTGGCAATTAGCACACGAGTTGTATACCCTTTGTCAGTCTATAAAGGAAACTGAACAGGGACGATTTGATACTAAGGCAAATGTACGGTCTGTATTAGTATTTGGTAAGTGGCAGTGTAGGGGAGTGCTGAGGATCAGTGAACCGGGGTTGCATCAGAAGGAATGTCTAAGGCTAGATAATGTAGTCAGTGCTGGTGAACTAATACAATGCCTCCAAGTGTTTACAAACACTAGGACAGAGAAGTGTTGGACGATAAAAGTGGATCTTCCTAGGATACAGGATAGAAAAGCACTCGAGTGGATAGTGATGCTAGTCGATCTCTAAAGGGTTGTTTTTCAATTTATCTCAACGACCCATAAATAGTATAATGAATTATTTTCGCAGTCGATGAATACTTATCCCAAGGAGTTCACAAAATCAATGTCTAAGTGATAAAAATATATCCATATTTGTGGAAAACAAAGCATATTTTTGTTCCAGTTAGTTTGAGGTTTGGTACTCGTTTGGTAGAGTGACTGTACAATAGAGATTGCCACATAATTATAAACACGTGAGCTTACACATACATGTCTTTTCGTTGTAATGGTCAAATGAAAAGATACATTTCATTTCTTTAACGAATACATTTAAAATAAGCTATTGTTTTGGCAAAATCCTCAGCTGTAAGGAATAAGTTGGTAAAAATCGTAACAACTTTCTCATCATTAAAGGTGTTTGCTTTATATTTCTTCAGATCTGTAAAATGATCCCCAGTTCCACGAAGCACATTATCCAGGGAGAAGAAGTTCCGTATATCGTCCAGGGAGACCAGTGGGTGGGATATGATGACAAGGACAGTCTCCGTAAAAAGGTAATGGCTTAACTAATTCGGCCATTTATTGTTTTATTTGAAATAGCGATGAAACAAACCCACGTATCACTCTATACATTTTCGGGATCAACTTTTTTTATTGATGGATAAAAAAACTGCAAATAAGAAATGTTGCGTTTTGTTTGCATAATTTCAGGTAGACTTCATTAAAAAGGAACAGTTTGGCGGCGTCATGGTTTGGGATCTGGCCTTGGATGATTTCAGCGGATCCTGTGGAGAAGGGAAGTATCCGCTTCTGACCGCCATTAATAACGAGTTATCAGGAGTAGTAAACACCAAGTAAGCTACCATTTTATAAAAGTTCCGTGGTTTTTGTCTGGATGGGTTAAAGTCTTTATTTGGAGAGGTATAATTCTTCATGTTGTGTTCGGATGTGTACCCACGGTATACTGACCGTAAGATGTATAACAAGGGTGAAACTCCAATATTTATATTACACGAAACAAACTCAACACGGTTGTAGATGTTTCACTATGACTTGGACAGACAATACCTCTTCCAATAAGGTATATATCCATTGAACGCTCTATGAGCCAACATGTCTTGTGTTTCCATTTCACCTAATATATTTATATAATCTGCATGCTTAACAAAAATTCTTCATTCCGAATACTTATGACTGGTGACAGTTTCTGATGATGAAGTAGATGTTTAGATTTCAAGTTGAAAAGCTCTCGTCTTATCAAAATACTAAAGTTTCCTCTAACATCGAGCAGATCCAGATAAGCTTATCTGATAACGGTTTACTTGGACGAGATCTTATCAACTGTTCAGTATACATATGGCACATATGTCAGATAAGTGGTCCCTATTAGGGAAAGGGCATACGGTGATTTGTCAAATGTTCCCAAGGATAAGACAATAGATATGCCATTTTTTCTCTTTGTCATTGATTTCGTTGGTTGGGGTAACGATTCTAGTCCAGTCATTTACTATGAGTTATATTATAATCTGAAAATAGTCATTGGAGGCGTTTTGTTTTTGTCTCTACAAGACCAAGAACGCTTTCTTATTATTTTAGTTGATTCACCAAGAAGAGAGCTCAATACATTTGTCGCTCAATACAAGATACAAGATACGAGATACGAGATACAAGATTCAAGATACAAGATACGAGAAACAAGATACGAGATACAAGATACGAGATATCAGATATCAAATACGAGAAACGAGATACGAGATACAAGATACCAGATACAAGATACGAGATACGAGATACAAGATACAAGATACAAGATACGAAATACGAGTTGCAAGATACAAGATACCAGATACGAGGTACGAGATACAAGATACTAGATACCAGATACGAGATACAGATACAAGATACGAGATACGAGATACAAGATACCAGATACCAGATACCAGATACAGATACAAGAAACAGATACAAGATACCAGATACGAGATACAAGATACAAGATACAAGATACAGATACAAGATACCAGATACGAGATACAAGATACAAGATACAAGATACAGATACAAGATACCAGATACGAGATACAAGATACGATATACGAGATACAAGATACGAGATACGAGTTGCAAGATACAAGATACCAGATACCAGATACAAGATACAGATACAAGATACCAGATACAAGATACAGATAAAAGATACGAGATACGAGATACAAGATACCAGATACCAGATTCCAGATACAAGATACAGATACAAGATACCAGATACGAGATACAAGATACAAGATACAAGGCACAAGACACAAGATACGAGACACAAGATATGAGATACAAGATACGAAATACAAGATACAAGATACAGATCCAAGAAACGAAATACAAGATACGAAATACAAGATACGAGATACGAAATGCAAAATACGAGATACAAGATACAAGACACAAGACACAAGATAGGAGATACAAGATACAAGATAAAAGAAGCTTTATTTAACGTCGAATAGTGTGAACAATAAACATAAGGACTCAGGAGCTTGTATTTAGACAAACATGATAAATATAGATAATGGTAAATATGATACAAGTTAAGACAAACACAATACATGAAATAAAACAAATATCACATGAGCATATATAATTTTATTTCATCATGTGGCGCATTAATATTTTAAGGGTTTGGGAGCCCCTTACCAGCGAGGTCTGCTTAATGCGCACATCATAGTAGTTTAAGAAAGTTATAGAAATCAACCTCTTTATATACAGTACTTCAAGTTAAAATATTGAACTAGTATGTGTGAAATTTAATAGAATCATAATTGAGAAAACAATATATAACACATATTTTGTAAAATATAACTAGATCTAGTACTGGTAAGATTGGGGTACGATTTGAAAGCACTAAAATTCATGAAATTAAAAAAAAGTAGTTAAAAAGTAGCACATAATTATCAAAGATTTCAGGTTTTTATTTTCGGTAAACTACTATAATCATAGCTTGACAAAGGGACCAGTCGGTCATGAAACGTTGCGACACGTTTAATGCGTACACTGTTTGTGTGTAATGTAAAACGTTGATATAACAAACTGATGAAACGTATTAAAGATAGCTCAATGCAATAGCTTAACTTAATACCATCCTAAATGTCTGGCATCCATTATATCTACCACATTTACAGAGCACTTAATCTAATAGCCGCCTGAATACAGGCGGTATTACCAAACAACCAGACTATGACAGGTGATCTTTCTGTAAAGGGAAGTAACCCTTCTTATAGGGATATAATCCCCAACTCAATGATTATGAAGGTGAAATGCAAAACATACGTAAATGGATCGGAATGGTTGAACAAAGTGAAAGAATCCGTATACACATTGTTACACTAAATTTATATAAAAGGCTCAAGTCATGTATCAACAAAATGACTTGGCAAAGCACTTCGACTTTTTTACGATGACTGTTGTATGTAAAAAATGTCACTAATTTTTGTTTACTGCGGCGCTAATCCCAGTTATGAAATATATGTTTCATGAAATGTTTTCCCTTTTCGCTTAATAGTGTACGTTTACGTTATTTTTGCTATCAGTCCTCAAACACCAGTACCTGTAAACACCCAGTCACCTGTGCCAACAACGACAGTAGTTACTGTACCACCCAAAACAAATACCCCAGTCCACGTTACATCCGGCTCTCAGGCGTCAACAACTGGTAAGTCAATGCTAATTATAAAAAACTTTATTATAACTCAAGTTATCTCAACTTATATGAATCAATAACTTTTAAATTCCCGGATCTTACTGCACAGGGATGGAGTTGTGGGTTAAGTAGATGGGGTCGAGGGTTGCTTAATGTGGGAGGAAACCGGAGTACCCGGAGAAAACCCAGGTAGTCTGTCAGATGACCCCATACTTATTCACATTTTCCCACTGTATATTGTGCATCTGGCTTGGCCATTTTTCATATTCCAATAGGGTTTAATTATCACTTACCCAGACATTTGAAATTCTATAGTTACTGAATCAAATAGACGAGCTTTATTCTCTGTCAATGTACAAATAATCGCACATTTTTGTGTGTGTGTGTTTCATATTTATAGCCTCCCATACGCTATCCGCCACGAATAACTTCAAATGTGCAGGAAGAAGTCCAGCGTTTTACCCCAGTCCAAGCGACTGTGCAAAGTACTATATCTGTGCGGGCGGCAACGCGTTTGAAGTAGCTTGTACTTCAGGTCTTTATTTTAATCCTTCCTCCTCGTTTTGTGATTGGCCAAGAAATGTTCACTGCAACATAAGTAAGCCGCAATTCTCAGGGACACCGGCAGTGACGCAGAGGCCTATCGTAGTTATGACGACGAGGCCTCCAATGACAAATGCACCAGTCACGATCAAGCCGCTCCAAACGGCACAACCAGCTGTCAACACACCACAACCTACCAACGCACCGCAAACCAGTGCGCCAGGTAAACTCTAGATGACCTTTCTCCTTCTCCTAGCCCCTAGTCATCTTAACATAATTCTAGTACAAGTAAAATGAGGAGTACTCAGTCTACTCTATTTAATTAAACTTGTCAGTATATATATCCAGTTAACTGTCCTGAACGATAATATCCAGTCATCTTTCCCGGAAGTAAACAGTCTACTCTCCTAAACTATAACATTCAGTCCATTCTTCAGGAATTATTCATTTGATTTCACGGGAAGCATTCAGTCTACTCTCCTTAAGAAAAGTATTCAGTCAACTCTCCAGGAAATATTCAGTAAAATCTACATTTTAATTCACTAAAATTCCACTTTTGTCGTCCAATTTTATTCACATTCTTAGAATCGTAAAGTAAAGACGTGTTAGTTATCAATTGTAGTGACAAACAACACTATAGATTTAGTATAGGGGAACAGTAATATACTTTTACATGTGCTAGTAAGTAAATGTTGTTTATCTGTTGTAGCAACCAACAACAACAATATATGTGTTGGAAAAAATGACGGATACTTCCTTGATCCTCAAGATTGCGGATTTTTCTACCAGTGTTCCTTTGGCCTAGCTTTCCACGAGCCCTGCCCACCGGGCTTAAGTTTTAACGTGAACATGAAAGCCTGTGATTACAGACAGAACGTTCCTACTTGCAAGAACTTTGTCGGCTGAAAATAAGTTCAATTGTTTCTTTGATTTAAGTGAAATTCTTTGTGTATTTCATTATCTGATGCTGTATTTATTAAAAGAAAAGTGTGTATGGGACTACGATATCTTTGTGACGTTAACTAAATCATTAATGACTAGTAATTTAACTAATAATAACAGTACCCATTGAAGCATGGCTGACTAGTACCTTAACTAATAGTAAGAGTTACCATTGAAGCATGAATGACTTGTACCTTAACTAAAAATAACAGTACCCATTGAAGCATGGCTGACTAGTACCTTAACTGATAAAAACAGTACCCATTGAAGCATGGCTGACCAGTACCTTAACTAATAATAACAGTAACCATTGAACCATGATTGACTAGTACCTTAACTTATAACAACAGTTATCATTTGAGCATGACTGACCAGTACCTTAACTAAAAATAACAATAGACATTTGAGCATGACTGACTAGTACCTTAACTAATAATAACAGTAAACATTTGAGCATGACTGACCAGTACCTGAACTAATAATAACAGTACCCATTGAAGCATGGCTGACCAGTACCTTAACTAATAATAACAATAAACATTTGAGCATGACTGACTAGTACGTTAACTAATAATAACAGTAACCATTGAACCATGATTGACTAGGACCTTAACTTATAACAACAGTTATCATTTCAGCATGACTGACCAGTACCTTAACTAATAATAACAATAAACATTTGAGCATGACTGACTAGTAAACATTTGAGCATGACTGACTAGTACATTAACTAATAATAACGGTAACCATTGAAGCATGACTGACTAGTACCTTAACTAATAGTAACAGTAACCATTGAAGCATGACTGATTAGTACATTAACTGATAATAACATTCAACAATTGAGCATGACTGACCAGTACCCTAACTAATAATAACAGTACCCATTGAAGCATGGCTGACCAGTAGCTTAACTAATAATAACAGTACCCATTGAAGCATGACTGACTAGTACCTTAACTTATAATAACAGTAAACATTTGAGCATGACTGACTAGTACCTTATCTAATAATAGCAGTAAACATTTGAGCATGACTGACTAGTACCTTATCTAATAATAGCAGTAAACATTTGAGCATGAATGACTAGTACCTTAACTAATTATAACAGTAACCATTGAAGCATGATCGACTAGTACGTTAACTAAAAATAACAGTAAACATTTGAGCATGACTGACTAGTACCTTAACTAATTATAACAGTAACCATTGAAGCATGACTGACTAGTACATTAACTGATAATAACAGTAAACATTTGAGCATGACTGACTAGTACCTTAACTAATAATAACAGTAACCATTGAAGCATGACTGACTAGTACCTTAACTAATAACAACAGTTAACCTTTGAGCATGACTGACCAGTACCTTAACTAATAATAACAGTACCCATTGAAGCATGACTGACTAGTACCTTAACTAATAATAACAGTAACCATTTGAGCATGACTGACTAGTACCTTAACTAATAATAACAGTAACCATTTGAGCATGACTGACTAGTACATTAACTAATAATAACATTAAACATTTGAGCATGAATGACTAGTACCTTTACTAGTAAAAACAGTTAACCATTTGAGCATGACTGATTAGTACATTAACTGATAATAACATTCAACATTTGAGCATGACTGACTAGTACCTTAACTAATAATAACAGTAAACATTTGAGCATGACTGACTAGTACCTCAACTAATAATAACAGTAACCATTGAAGAATGACTGACTAGTACCTTAACTAATAATAACAGTAACCATTGAAGCATGATCGACTAGTACGTTAACTAAAAATAACAGTAAACATTTGAGCATGACTGACTAGTACTTTATTTAATAACAACAGTAAACATTTGAGCATGACTGACTAGTACATTAACTAATAATAACAGTAACCATTGAAACATGACTGACTAGTTCCTTAACTAATAACAACAGTTAACATTTGAGAATGACTGACCAGTACCTTAACTAATAATAACAATAAACATTTGAGCATGACTGACCAGTACCTTAACTAATAAAAACAGTACCCATTGAAGCATGACTGACTAGTACCTTAATTAATAATAAAAATAAACATTTGAGCATGACTGACCAGTACCTTAACTAATAATAACAATAAACATTTGAGCATGACTGACTAGTACCTTAACTAATAATAACAGTAAACATTTGAGCATGACTGACTAGTACCTTAACTTATAATAACAGTAAACATTTGAGCATGACTGACTAGTTCCTTTACTAGTAATAACAGTAACCATTTGAGCATGACTGACTAGTACCTTAACTTATAATAACAGTAAACATTTGAGCATGACTGACTAGTACCTTAACTAAAAATAACAGTAACCATTGAAGCATGACTGATTAGTACATTAACTGATAATAACATTTAACATTTGAGCATGACTGACCAGTACCTTAACTAATAATAACAATAAACATTTGAGCATGACTGACTAGTTCCTTTACTAGTAATATCAGTAACCATTTGAGCATGACTGACTAGTACCTTAACTAAAAATAACAGTAACCATTGAAGCATGACTGACTAGTACGTTAACTAAAAATAACATTAAACATTTGAGCATGACTGACTAGTACCTTAACTAATAACAACAGTAAACATTTGAGCATGGCTGACTAGTAGTACCTTAACTAATAATAAGTACCTTAACTAATAGTAACAGTAAACATTTTAGCATAACTAACTAGCACATTAACTAGTAATAACAGTACCATTTGAGCATGACTTAACCATTTGAGCATCACTGACTAGTACCTTCACTAATAATAACAGTTAACATTGAAGCATGACTGACTAGTACGTTAACTAAAAATAACAGTAACCATTGAAGCACGACTGACTAGTACCTTAACTAATAATAACAGTAACCATTGAAGCAGGACTGATTAGTACATTAACTGATCATAACAGTAAACATTTGAGCATGACTGACTAGTACATTAACTAATAATAACACTAACCATTGAAGAATGGCAGACAAGACCCTTAACTAATAATAACAGTAAACATTTGTGCATGGCTGACCAGTACCTTAACTAATAGTAACAGTAAAAATTTGAGCATGACTGACTAGTACCTTAACTAATAGTAACAGTAAACATTGAAGCATGGCTGACTGGTACCTTAACTAATAATAACAGTAAACTTTTGAGCATGACTGACTAGTCCCTTAACTAATAATAACAGTAAATATTTGAGCATGACTGACCAGTACCTTAACTAATTATAACAATAAACATTTGAGCATGACTGACTAGTACCTTTACTAGTTATAACAGTAACCATTTGAGCATGACTGACTAGTACATTAACTAATAATAACAGTTACCATTGAAGCATGACGGACTAGTACCTTAACTAATAATAACAGTAATTTTTTTAGCATGACTGACTAGTACCTTAACTAATAATAACATGACTGACTAGTACCTTAACTAATAATAAGAACATGGCTGACTAGTACCTTAACTAATAATAACAGTAACCATTGAAACATGACTGACTAGTACCTGAAATAATAACAACAGTAGACATTTGAGCAGGACTGACCAGTACCTTAACTAATAATAACAATAAACATTTGAACATGACTCACTAGTACCTTAACTAATAATAACAGTAACCATTGAAACATGACTGACTAGTACCTGAAATAATAACAACAGTAGACATTTGAGCAGGACTGACCAGTACCTTAACTAATAATAACAATAAACATTTGAACATGCCTGACTAGTACCTTAACTAATAATAACAGTAATTTTTTTAGCATGACTGACTAGTACCTTAACTAATAGTAACAGTAACCATTGAAGCATGACTGACTAGTACCTTAACTAACAACATCAGTAACCATTTGAGCATGACTGACTAGTACATTAACTAATAATAACAGTAACCATTGAAACATGACTGACTAGTACCTGAAATAATAACAACAGTAGACATTTGAGCAGGACTGACCAGTACCTTAACTAATAATAACAGTACCCATTGAGGCCTGATTGACTAGAACCTTAACTAATAATAACAGTAAACATTTGAGCCTAACTGGCTAGTACCTTAACTAATAATAACAGTAAATATTTGAGCATGACTGACCGGTACCTTAACTAATAATAACAGTACCCATTGAGGCCTGATTGACTAGAACCTTAACTAATAATAACAGTAAACATTTGTGCATGGCTGACCAGTACCTTAACTAATAGTAACAGTAAAAATTTGAGCATGACTGACTAGTACCTTAACTAAAAATAACAGTAAACATTGAAGCATGGCTGACCAGTACCTTAACTAATAATAACAGTACCCATTGAAGCATGACTGACTAGTACCTTAACTAACAACATCAGTAACCATTTGAGCATGACTGACTAGTACCTCAACTAATAATAACAGTAACCATTGAAGCATGACTGACTAGTACCTTAACTAAAAATAACAGTAACCATTGAAGCATGACTGACTAGTACCTTAGCTAATAACAACAGTAATCATTTTAGCATGACTGACCAGTACCTTAACTAATAATAACAGTACCCATTGAAGCATGGCTGACTAGTAGTACCTTAACTAATAATAACAGTAACCATTTGGGCATGACTGACTAGTTCCTTAACTAATAATAACAGTAAATATTTGAGCATGACTGACTAGTACATTAACTAATAATAACAGTTACCATTGAAGCATGACGGACTAGTACCTTAACTAATAATAACAGTAAGCATTTGAACATGACTGACTAGTACATTAACTAATAATAACACTAACCATTGAAGAATGGCAGACAAGACCCTTAACTAATAATAACAGTAAACATTTGTGCATGGCTGACCAGTACCTTAACTAATAGTAACAGTAAAAATTTGAGCATGACTGACTAGTACCTTAACAAATAATAACAGTAACTATTGAAGCATGACTGACTAGTACCTTAACTAACAACATCAGTAACCATTTGAGCATGACTGACTAGTACCTTAACAAATAATAACAGTAACTATTGAAGCATGACTGACTAG